TTTTATTTCATTTATTTTTTATTTATTTATTATTTATAATATTTTATTATTTCAAAATATTAAATATGTTAAAATAATTTAATCAAGTAAATATTTTATTAAATTATATCAATAATCAAAGTTTAATCACCTCAGCTGCAGTGAAGACAAAAGTATTGAAAGAAACGAAGAAGAATGCTGCAGCTGTGCATAGAAGTAACATGAAGGAAGATAATGCAAGAATAGTTGCTAGAAGTCCAAGAAGCCTTGCATGACTCCAACCTGGTGTTGTTGGTGAAAATGATAACTAAAAAATATTTCATAAAATTTATATAAAATTAATAAGATATATTATATAAAATAAATGAGATAGTATTAATAATAATATTTATATAAAATAATAAAATTAAAAAATTATATAAATGATTATTTTATAATTATTATATAAAGAGATTAAAATATGATCCGTTATATTTATAGATGGATATAGATTATAAAATATAATATTAAAAGATTTTTATAAAAATTCTTTTAAAATTGTTTTTTATATAATGTATTAATATTTAATATTTACAAATTTTATAATATTTAATTATTATTTTTAATCATTAAATTTAATGTTAATAAATTAATCAATATATTTATAAAGTTATATAATTAGTATTGAATTTATAATATCTTATATCAAAACTTAAATTATTTTTTACTAATAATATTATTTTATCAAATATTTAATAATGAAATTAAATAACAAAAAGAACAAGTTTTAACAATAATAAGTATTGTAATACATATAAAATATATAATATATTCTTACAATTTTTCCTTCATTATTTAATTTAATTATTAATGAATTAATATTTATACGATAATTATTAGTTATTAATGATATATAAGGAATAACAAGTAATTATGCAGAGTTCATGTTATTAATTAATCCTTTTTAAAAACAAGGATTTAATTAATAATATTTTTTTTTAATTAATAACTTTATATTTCTTGCTGGTTCTCATTTACATATAAATCTATCGATGATAATTTATTCGTATTTAATTAAGAATTAGTTAATTTCATTTGTATTTGAAAACTTTGAAACTTGATTTATTCGAAAATGAAATCTCAAAAAGAAAAAATTTTATCCCAAAAATTTTATTTTCTATTTATTTTTTCATATAGAAACATTTTCTTTTCTTATATTGTATCCTCGCAATATCCTATGAAAGCTAGTAAAAATTTTTATTTTTGAGTATGTGTATATATATATATAATGCATTTTAATTGTACATTATATCAAGAAATAAAAATAAAATTTTCTATGAAATACTTATTAAATTATTAAATTACTAAATTAATTAGTAAAAGTAACTAAATTAGAGAAAAAAATTTTTTTATTTATATGCTTGTCACTTCAACAAAATAATCAACATAATTTGAATAAGAATATGTCCAAAAATGAGATGCAAATCATTTCATATATAAATTATTTAAATTAACTGATTCATAATTCATTCATAAATTGTGAAGAAATTATAAAATATATATATTTCTTTCAATTATAATGAATAAAATAATTTTAATATATCTATTATATATAATTATAAATTTATGATTTTTATCAAAATTAATGTGTAATATAAATTTAATATTTTTAATAATAATAAGTAATATACTAATAGATGAATTTTCTTGTTAATTCTTATAGAGTTATATTTATATTAATATTTATATTATAAATTACATTTATATTTATATTAAAATATATTTTATTAATT